GAAATAATCAATGCTGAAAATGTTTGCAGAGGGTGTCACCTGTGGGTGAACTTTGTCTTGCAGTCCACTTTAAGAAGCCAGACTACGCATAGCCTGTGGAAACAAAGGGAAAACCAAGTGTCAGGGAACACATGTCTCCTTAGGCCTCCCTTTTTTCAGTGTCCTGTAATACTGATTTCTTGTTTGCATCCATCTTAGGTATAACCAGCACAATAAAAGCAGGGCTTAAAAACTTAATTTTGACCCTCATCATACTTTAATTGGATTTACATAAAAGAAATAGTCACCATTCATTGAGCCCTTAGTATGCAAAAGACACTGTTCTTGTTATTTTACATGCACTCTTTAATTTTTAGAACTCGGTGATACTATTTCCATTTTAAATCTAGATACTAAAACAAAGAAAGGATAAGTCATTTGCTCTGTTTGTACATCCTGTAAGTAGTGGAATCGGGACTGGTCCCCAGGAGTGTTTGGTTCGAAGTCCTCAAAACCACTGTGCTGTACTGTCCCACTTCCTCTAGAAGCCCTGTGGAATTCTCTGCATGTTGCGCCTAGTGCCTCATTTTAATGTAGAAGTTTGAATGGTGTTCTTTTGACACTTTTATCAGGAACTGAAAAAAGGCACAGGGGCCTTTTCCAGATAGCTCAGTTGTTTAAAGCACCACTTGGGCAAATGCAGTCAGGCTCATAGGACCGGGGTTTGATTCCCAGCTCCAGAAGTTGCACCAGACCTGCCCTTAAGGCACACTGAAGCATCCCCCCGCCAAAAAAAAAAAAAAAAAAAAAAAAAACCCTGCTCTGAAAAAAGGCACAGTAGTGATGCTTTTCAGATTTTCCTAAGACACAGGTTTGAGGAGTAAATATGCTAGATGATAACTTCAGAATATAAACTATGGCAATAAACCAAAGCCAGCAAGATATATCAGAGATGCTTGTACTATTTCATTTGGATCAAAGACTCTACAGAATTTATGTGAGAAGTCACTAGTTGCCAGGACCTGCAAATCTTCACCCAAAAGTTATGTGAACATCCATTATGGTGTAGGAGGGGTTTCTGCATGGGCTAGGATGTTGCATTACTTAATTTCTAAGATATCTTTCAACTTTTTTTTTTTTTTTTTTTTTTACCATTGTCATTCTAAACATCATGGTCTGATTTTTTTTTTTTTTTCTTTTAGTCTGCTTTTATAATTAACCATTTCCTTTTTGTTTGTTTGGTACTGGGGAATGAACTCA